TCCATGGTTAATTCGTTTTTGTATCATTTACTTATTTGTATTTTTAGTAGACCTGACATTCGTGTCATTTTTGTGACATACCCGATATCTTAACGGGATGTGTTGTGTAACACCCGTTAAAGTAAACGGGTAATTTGACCCGATCCGAAATCGGCTCATTAATATTATCAGGTAATATGACCTGACACATTACCGTTAAGGAATATATATATTTTAAATCAATAAATAATGAAAATGAAAAACATAATTTGACCCAAAAAAATTGAAAACATAATACTAAATTTGTATATGTAAATCACATTGTCACATAAATATTACTTCAAAACATAAAGACAACATTTGTTTTTTAAGTATTACATACCCCTAAAATAAGAGTCTAATGAAAAAAACATTAGTACATTACTACAGAATACCAAATGTTCAAGGATATGCAAAATGAAAGGAGTTACGTTTCAAGGTTGACGAAACCTTGCACGTTTTTGACAATAAAACCCTTCAATTTTCATCAATCACCAAGGGAAATGATATTGTTTATTTTGAACTCCCTTAAAAATACTATTTATGAGGGTTTGTATGGTTTTAAAAATTCAAACGACGATGTACCCATCCTCAAAGTGTAGATGATGCGATCTTGAGCATTTGCATATTATTTCACATTTTTCGCACTTTTAAATTAATTATTATATTTTTAATGTGTTTGGTATTTTTAAATTACTTGATATTTTTATTTTTTTAATGTGTTTTATAATTTTTTAATCTCACTCCTATAGTATTCTATAAAAATAAATACTTAAATTATTAGAATTTATATAAAATAATAATACAATAGTTCATATTTTAATATACAAAATATACATATACACTCTAGCTATTGTATTTTATAGTAAGTTTTTTTAAGTAGTTCAAAAAATTAAAATCATCAAAATAACTTCTTTCTTAATGTGTCCAAATAGTTACCCTTGTGTCACTCTCGTGTAAACCTGTTAAGGATCCGCTATTAACAGGTCCTTATCGTGTGACTGGATTAGTTGTCGTGTCGATCCAAAATCCGTTATTTTCTTATCGTTTATGTGTAGTGTTAACGGGCCGTGTAAGAAATTGTCAGGTCTAATTTTCAAAGGACCAAATCAGTAATATCTTTACTAAATAATAAAACACTCATTGTCAACCAAAACTCTATAAAATTACTAGTTTAACCCTCTAATTAAAACAGAACATGAATAAGAAATATGGGGTAGAAATGTAATTTCACACAACCAAATTTTACTGTTTTTTTTTAAAGCCTCACTTACATGTAATCCTAATATATCTCTAATTAAAAAAAAAAAAAAAAACTTCTCACTCCCACATTCTCTATCACTCTCTTCCTCTCTCATTCTTTTTAAAAAACAAAAATAAAAATTTTTCTCACATACTTTATATGTGCCCATATGCTAGTTAATTATAAAGTAAATAAATGCTGAAATGTCATTGCCATGTTGGTCAGGACTCAAGAATTGTTGCAAGGTAGAGTCACTTTCTAAATGATTACTATCTTCCTTTCCATTGATTCCTTCATTTGCATGAAAGTTTTGCATGTTAACATATTCAAATGTGAAATCATATCATCTTGTATTAACAAATTTCTATGCAGGAATATAGTATCACTGCATCTGAATTATTTGAAAGAGGGAGCCCCACATAGACATAGTTATTAGTTCCCATGGCCAGAGAATGATGAAAGATCAAAAAGACAAATTAGTAAGGATTGCTATTTAGTCAAACAAGCCTTTTGTCCACAAGTATTCATTGCACAAACTCAACCGTTGCAATTAAATAGCAGTAATTGATATAGATATTGAATGGACAAAATTGAACATAAAAGATTAATAGTTGTGGATATCAAATTTAATCACAAAAAGACGATTAAAAATATTCAAACACTGAATACTAAGTAGCATTAAAATCGAACTTCAACTATTGTATTTGAAAACTTTCTCATTTCTCACTCTCTCTCTCTCTCTCAAAAACTTGAAAATCGCAGAAAAGCTAGCAAAAGCCCTTTTTATTCCTTACTGAATCAATTTACGTAACTAAGAGGGTAAAAGATGTGAGACAGATGAGAGAGTCAGAGAAACAAGGCATGGATGGTAAGTCACACTCACTCATCACTCACTCATGCTTTTCTCTGTACTTACTACTCCTTCCTCTCAGATCACCTGTCACCATGCACATATGTATCTGATTCTCTCTCCCTCCCTCCCTCCCTCTCTCTCCCCCCCATATCACCTGTCACCATGCACATATATATCTGATTCTCCCTCCCTCCCTGTCTCTCGTACTCACTCACACAGCAGATTCTATTCTCCTACACTCGTAAATCCTTCGTGGTTTTTGGGTCCACTAGTGACTAATCTGATACCCTCTTTGACCATATGCTTCCAACTAAACACGTATTGGGGATGTCAGTCTCTTCTGTTACCTTTTTTCTTTCATTTACTTCCTTTCTCCTCTTCTCACTATACATGTAGGTGTATATATTTATATATATAACCTCCATCCATCTCTTCAGGAAGAGTACAGCAACCATGTCTTGTTTCCCATTTACATCACTTCGCAGCATCCACACCTTGACAACCCTTCAATCTTCAATGCTTGTCTTTTCTCTCCAAACATGCTCTTGCTCTCTTCTTTTCAAGAAGATGAACTTGCTATCAGTTGATGATCATTCGTTGCCAACTTCTTGGAGCCAATACCACCGCCTTTGGCTTCCACCACAACTGCAGAGCGATGCAGCCAGCGTTTGATCTTTCATGGTGCTATCCTACCTGAGCTCCTCTATTTATTTTCTAACTTTTTTTTCTTTGCCAATTTCTTCTCACACGCTATCTCATTGATTCAGCCCTTCTTCTACCTTGTGCATTCTTTCATCTCTTTCTTGACCTTGCAAGACTTTTATGTCTTTCCAAACCCATTCTTACCACCCTCCGTTGTCTTCTTTTGTTACATTTACTTCTTGACCTTTGTCAACCCTCCCATCGTATCTATTCTTGTCTATCCCTCTTGAGCTTTATTATTTTGTAATGCTTGATTTTCCCATTAGGCCTTAGTTTGATCTGATTTGTATAATTATCTCTGGACTTGTACTGTACTTTTGGCTTGAATATATTTATCTGAAGATGATTATGTTTATTAACTTTCATTTTTTTTAGCTTACGAAATTTGTTTATGTTCTTCTGAGTCCATAATAATTGCTAGCAAAAACCCTAGCAGATAATGCATTTTCCTTATTTTTTTCAGGGTGTTTCATCTGAATATTTCATACGTAAAAGCAGTGTTACATGACCTTTTGGTCCAAACTGCAATGTCAGAAATTTAATTACAAATTTACTATCATTCCAGACCTTATTTTGGTCGAAAGCCAAACTTCTAACTGAGGTTTAAGAATTACACATTCAGAAATTGGAATAACCAAACAAAATTAAGCAGCAGGAATATTCAAACTGCCTTAAACCAACGTTTAAATCAAGTACACAATAAATTATTATCTACCCAATTGAGAAAAAACGTCAAATTTGTACGGCTTATTGATTGTAAACACCTCAAAAAAGGGGTGCATACATAATTCCCGTTATCAAAATGCCCTCTATGCTACAACCAATGTTTTCACGCCCTGCTTTTGCAAAAGTGATTTACGGTAGCTTACATTATCTTGGGAAATCAATGTTAGGCAGGCTAAATTTTTAAATCAAATGAAGTGTTATCACTAAGTAAATCAAATGATATCTTATTAATAAGAAATAAACACGTTAATCGATATTTAATTAATAATTTAATCATCTACAAACACATTATTTAATTTACAAAATTGATTTAAAAATTTTAGTCTCTTTAGTATATGAGCTTCAACTTCTTTATTCAACGTTACTATCGATTGATGAGCTTCCACCAGCACGCCTTCTACTATATTGCTCTCGGACTCTTCTAATTTCAAGACTGAATTGATCAGATCGTTATGTTGTTTGAGTTGTACTCACTATGCTAGTCATGTAGAGGCATTTGTCGAGCCAACTCAACCAGGGTGTCGTCGAAGTTATTGATTTCTTCCTTTGTCGTCTGCCATTGAGCAAAGCCAAACCTGCTTTCATGCCAACTAATGCAGTGGAAATATTCGAAAAGCCTTGCATCACCGCCTAAAACCAATAAAACACAAGAAACTGGGATCACAACAAATTCATAAAAAGAATTAACTTGGCTCGTCAATGAATGGGGAGGAGTTCCATCTCAATTCACTACATGACCAATTCACATAGTTCCATGTTGTGATATAAATCGTTCATATTATAAATTATTATATAAACATTATCTATTCAAAATATAAATTAAATATGAGATCGTTTAGTAATCGAACTATATAAAAATAGATAGACAAATTCGGTAAAAAAATCACAAAGAATTTTGAAAAATAATCAGAAGAATTAGATAAGTCTAGCCAGACTGCCAAAGCAGGTGTAAGTCTGACAATTTCCTTTTACATTTCCTCATTTTTGTCAATAGGGTGGGGGTAAGAAAATTTAGACAAATTTAACACACAACTATTAGTTCAGAATGTTACGTTCACAAGGAATTAACTTGGCTCCTTATGATCGAAATCATTTATATTGTAGATCCTTAAAGATCATCTTAGTGAAAAATAAAAAAAAATATAAGATCGTTTAGTCATCAAAATATATAAAAACAAGTGGTCGTGTACAATGAAATCATCAAGAAGTTAATTGACTAAACGACCTTATTTTCGATTGATTTTTTTTGTAAAATTAATATTTACAGAGTAATTTATAATAATTATAAGCACAAAACTTTGTGAATCGATCACAAAGTATTTTAAAGAGAAACACAATACAATTTATTTGTGAATCAGAACATTTCTTTTGAAAAAAAAAAAAATATATATATATATATATATATATATATATATATTTACAGTTTCGTAGCTTCCATCTATCGCCACAAATTGAAGATGATTTAAGGGTCACATTATGGACAAAAATAAGGGGAAAAATTACGTTCGAAAGAACTGAGAATACAAGAAAAATAAAGGACCAAAATACATTCAACATCCACAGCCTGTTGTTACATTTTAATTGAATGAAGAGAACCACGACCTTCTGCCATCGGGTTGAGAAGCCGATCGCCTAAAGCCTGTTCTGGAACATCTGGCCAAACGGTTCCGCAACTTTCGACTACTAGAGATTGGAACCAAACAAGGATTAATATTTGGAGCTCCCATGCAAAGGTTGTAGTTGATCTTGATTGATGGGAACTTCTGGCAGCTGAGGGACCGGAAAGACCCGAGAGGGGATTTTCCGGAGCAACGAAACTCAGGCTTGTATAATGGGGTTGTTAATGAGGAGGAATCTGATCCCTCAGAAGAACATGTGCAAAATGATAGTGATATACTTGTTCTTGCATTCTCCTTAGCCATTGATCTTGCTCCTCGAAGCTTGACAAATGAAACTATGCCATTTCGGCAGAGAGGACATGCAATTGAGCCCGGGGGGCCATTGGACACAGTTGAAGTGCAGTTTGTGGAACAAAGGTACAAGGCACACCTTGTGCAGAACTCATGATCGCAACCTGCACTACGAGAATTGTTAATATTTGGCAACCAACAAATTTATGCATGATTCTACCATCTAGCATGCAGAAAGCCAATAGGAAGCAAAATTTTTTGGAACTCAGAGAAAAACAATATATATAACAATGGATCAAATATACACCACTCTGAAAATGGCTCATATCTTACCTACTGTACAGCTAACTCTGAATTTTCTAAAGATGGGGAATATTTAGCAGTAATAACATGTCTACCGAATTCAAGGCTCTTTAAAATTCAGTATACAAACAATAATTGGTACTGATTCACTGTTCATTATATGGATAATAAGACTTCGTGTTAATGGTGAAGCCCTATACATTGAGCTTACTAGTGCTCCTAAAACAATAAAAAGGGATCCAGCTTCTTAAATTTCAACCGATCTGTGTTCAAAGAAATGTGAAACTACAGATAGGTAAATGGAATGCCGAACTGAAAACATCTAAATAAAATGCCCCACAGTTGCCTCCAGATGAACTCCAGATGCTTAGAGGTTCAACCATTCAGCATTTCTTCCACTTCAATACTTGAAATTAAGCACAGTAAACACCTTTCAATGCTATTTTTATTTTACATCATATAACAGTAGCAAACATGTTTCTTTTAATTTAGGTACCAAGAAACTGGTCACAATTATTTTGGGGCCAAAAAATCCTGCTGTAGGCGGAGTTGGTTTGGTAGCTGTGGAACCGGCCATTGCTTTTAGATTTTATAAAGCCCAATTGTAACTGCAGGACAGTCGCATTTTTGTTACTGAGCCAACCGCAGTCATATTTGAGTTCTGTTTGAGGCTAAAGGTTTGTCATTAGGCTTTAGGGCTTCAATTCTAAAGCCTAAATCCTTAAAACACTAAATCCTTATCGGGCAGTTGCAAATAAACTAAACAAAAAAAGGAAAAGAAAATACCAGTCACTGGAGTCGAACAAAACTCTGCCTCCGACAGCAGTTTTAGTCCCAAATTAAATTGATTACTGAGACATGCCTAAAGAAGCTATCCGGGAACAAGACGAGACAACACAAGAGTGCTGAAGGGCAAACACTTTTCCAGTTAAAACGAAAAAAATTTCCTCAATACCTTTGAGAATAAGTTGTTTTCCAAATTCTAATCCTCAAAACTTATTAGATTACGGTTTGGTGCCTAATATGGGAACAGAGGACCGAGCAGAGCATTCACTTGATGCATCTATCTTCTTCAGCCAAAACCGATGCTAAAGTGCTATTTCTACACTATCTCACTAGTTACCTATTTAATTTACCTCTGTGGACCATTACCGAGAATCCTTTTGAAGTGTGAGGATATATTTGAATTTCTACACCAATGGATAAATAAATGAAGCTGGTTCCACACCAATCATTCTCCACTGTTATTTCCCTTTCTTCCCGGAAACAATCTTTAAATGGAAAGGTTCAGGTGCGAATAATAGAAACCATCAACTTCTACAATCCAAAAATTTTCCCATTGTATATGGACAAAATCAAGTGGAGTCGTCATGTACACATTAACAGAGATAGATAATCGTGATAGTATGCGCTTTTAAGAGAAATGTACCTTCTGCGGCCACTGTGCACTGTTGTTCCAAACAGACAACACATGGATCTTGGCACGTAGATAAAGAATCATTGTTCCTCCATCCACATTCTCTGGTAATCGCAGCAAAACAAGAGAATAATGATAAGAAGACAAGTTTATAAGAAATCCACACATTTTATTATGTCAAGATAGAAGTATTTTCTGCTTCAACCACATCAATGCTTTTCATTTGCATAATCAGGTATTAGCACTGAATTTATAAAGGAGGTTGGTAAAGGAAAGTACGAGCAGAAAAACGCCTCCTTTTATAGAAAATAAAATAAAAAAGAGATGTTATTTGACTGAAATATAAAAATTTCGGTTGCAACCCAAAATTGAAAATACTGCAGATGTTAAATTTCAAGCATTTGTAATTGAAAGGTTATGCATGAGAAGTTAAGAAAAAATCTAGACATGCAAAAACGACAGGTTCATGCAGCACAAAAGTTAACTTGATTTGATATCTCATTTTGTTTACCAGGTTGCAGTTCACAAAATTTCTGTCGATTTGAATTGTGGGATGCAGTACCATTTGTTGACTTGTGACGTGCTTCATCAATCCATATAAGAACGTCTCCTCTAGTTTTATTGTATTTTATTTTTATGATTTAATCTTTGGGAGGAAGAGAGAGGTGATAAGGTAGATTGAACACATCCACGTGATTTAGTTTTCCATTCTTTGCAAGATTTCTTTTATCTATATTTAACAAGATTTCTTGACTTTCAACAAAAAAAGAAAAAAAAAAAAAAAAACAAGAAGATTTCTTGAATGGAGCAAATCAGAATCACAACTAATTTGGAATGGAACCACTTCTGATGTAACAAAAAATTGGTTAGTAAAAAACTTAGTCAACATATCTAACAAAATATACTCACCTAGCAATCTTCATAATGCTCATAAGGGGAAGAGATAGGTATGGTGAAGGAATAATCTGCGACTGGCCTTCTTGCTCGGAGGTAAGGTTTTCCTCAAGCCAGTCTCTATGCCATGACCGAGCTACCATCAAGGGAGTCCATCTTTAAACAAACAAAAACACAAAACAGGGGTAAGTTGAAAACTTCAAAGGTTTCTGTTGAATTCACGGCAAATGAAAAAATAAAATAACAAAATTAAGGCATGCTGAAACAACTGATTTCACTTCAAGTAAGTTTCATGGTAGTAAGACCCAAATTTTGCAGTCCCATGGATGAATTTTTAAAACTGTGCATCTGTAACTAATGACTTCATAGTCTAAATTTACATGTTCAATGGTACTTAATCAGAGTTACATAATCAAAGCACTTCATCACTCAGAGACAAAATGTGTGAAATTATAGGGAACACTGCAGCAATTGCACTTCAAAGCAACAGAGCAAATAGCCCATTGGCTAAATGACACCTCTTGTCACCTTAAGTACAAGTGAACAATGGTGCTGACCTAATCCCAGGCTTACAGTGAAATTGATCACAGATAACTCCAACAGGTTTCCGATGGTGGTTATCAAAATTCAAACAGATAACCATATAATGTCAGAATTATATATAGTTAACTTATTGCTCAAAGGCGCATACTGGCATCTCCGGTGACAAATGAATTTGACACCACACCAAGGAAAAATAAATGAGTTTGGTAATTGGGCATGATCTAAAGTTCAAACCCAACAGTCACACTTGCATCCATGTAACACAGGTCAATGTACTAACAAGACAAAATGCCAAACTTCGAAACAAATCAAAAGTGACAGGCACCGGATGCATACCCATTGGCATTTTCAGCATTCAGACTGGATCCCCTGGAAATCAAAATCTGAACGGCAACACATATTTTAGTGATAGCAAAACATAAATGTCAGTATGAACTGTAACAAAATTAACGTATATTATTGTGTAGATTTAAGAACATACTTGACAACATTGCGCATTTCCTCCGCATGCAGCATAATGCAGGGCTGTGCTTCCAGCACCTGCAAAGTGATCAGTTACAAAATATGGTTTAGGAAATACATTTGAATGACTGGACCTGGAAAATCATGTTGGCATGACAGGAACAATTAAACATTAATGTTTAAAGAAGATAATCAACAACATTAATTAGAAGTTAAGTAAACTATTACGAAATTGAATAGATATGATTGGGCTATAGCTTTCTAAGCAATAGCAGAAAAGGAAATGCACCAACTAAAGTCACCTGAAGATTTGGAATATACTTTATATGCACGATCTAGTTCCAAAATTACAATACAACTCAGTAGATTTCCTAAGGCAAGTGGATAAATAATGGATTAAGTTACCTATTAGATCAATTGTAGCGCCGTCTTGCACAGTCACCTTAGAAACAGAAGCCCCTAAATCCAAAAGTAGTTGTATGCTTTCAACGTGACCGTTCAGTGCTGCCATATGCAGTGCAGTGATTCCTCCATCAGCGGGCCTATTAATTATCTGGAACAAAACCCTGGTGCACACAGATTGGAACAGGAATCAGTAAAGTATATAGGGCAAGAAAAAAGAGGGTGCAAAATAAACTTGGAAGTGGAAGTACTCATGATTAAACTCTGTGATTGATTCTTCATTGCTATCAGCATTCCTTAACGTAGTCCAAAAATCTGCAGTGCTGGGAATGTAATCAGCCAGGAGGAGTCGGATGCATCGAGAATGACCATTCAAAGCGGCAAGGTGGAGTGCAGTACCGCCATTCAGATAATCTGCTCTGTGAATCTGAAATCCAGTTTTCCAAAATTTGTTATATTTCTTAAGAATATTGGAAAACTGTCTTTGAAGAAAAGAATCTTACTGTGGCCTTAGAAAGAATCAAAGTCTGAACAACCTCCCAGTGACCATGTTGGCAAGCTTGCATCAAAGCAGTCTGTTCACCAAGATACAGATCGCAATTTCAACCTTTTGATAGACGTAAATTGACTTTCAAATCCATCAATTGACAGACTACGGCAAATGCTAAACTTCTAATGTCACAATTGGAGATAATTTTACCTGACCGCGATAATTCCTCAGATTGATATCAACTCCAGACTCAAGCAATAGAGAGACTATCTAAACGCATTGAAAAAATACAATCACAATCCTATCTGATAAGCACAAATTTAAACTTTAACGAGATCAAAATCTCATTAGATTTATACCTCATGGTGGCCCTGAGCTGCAGAATAATGGAGAGGGGAATTGCGTACACCGAAAGTGGAGTACCTTGCCAGGCGAGGGTTACATTCTAGCAAGGCCTTGGCTTCCTGAACATCGCCATCTCTTGCTGCTGAAACTAACCGCTCCCCGGATGCTGAACATCCAAATGAATTTCCCATAACGCTTAGAAATTTCATGTCCCTCAAAATATCGCAAACCCAACAACTGGGGGATATACAATGACTAGTAGTACATAGTCAATCCTTATTTTCCTCAAACGTAGGACATTAGATCCTTAATCCATCCAAATAAACAACACACAAAATATCGACAGAACATGAAAAAGAAGCTATCTTGTCAATACATAGAAGTAGAAGGTCGTCCCCTGCACCAAACGGGACACAACCACCCTCCCAACAACAGTTTCTCAAAAGGCAAATTGGTTGTAACGGTCAGAATCCCACTATTTGGTTCCTACTGAGTCACTGATCGAAGAACAAATGCAAAAATATATTATTAGGACGTTATTGTCTGCAGATTAGTCAAACATTTCGACAACTTCGAGAAAACCAACAAAAGACAGACAGGAACGTTAAAACCTTAACGAACAAAATCCTATTTCGTCCCACCCATTGTCCCCTCCACAGAATCAATGCCTCTCAAACCCATTCAATCTTCCCTTCAAAAGAAACAAAAATTTTCAATTTCCCCTCAAATCAAATTTTTTTTTCCTTCCGGATAATCAAAATCTTCAAAACCCAGATGGAAAATCTCCTTCTGGGTTTTAAAGGAAGCTGATCAAAGATTGATGTAATGAATGAAATGAAGATTAATATCAAATGGGAAATATTTTTAAAAAATAAATAGAAAAATGAAGATGGAATTAAAAAAGAAAAAGATATAAAAAGGAATAGCAGTGGGTGATTTATTAGGAGCTCATCCCTCCTGAAGCCTCAACCAACAATAGCCTGCAAGAAAGGCGTGTCTCCAACTCTCCATGAACATGATTGGATATTATTAGCCAGTCAACTTGGTAGTTGGTTTCGTCCTTTCTCTCTCTTGTCCTTCCCTCCTTCTACCTTTTTTTACTTCAACCTGGGACAAAGTAATCTCTGTCCACGCAGGTCACCTGACCCAAGGCTAATCATCCTCACGGTATTTTGATTCACCTATTTTTTCACTACCACAAACATATTAGCTTTTATTATTATTATTTTTCAATGCTTTTTTGTTGTTGAATAATAGAGTCTCGTATTGGAGAAATACAAAAATAAGGCTTAATTGTAGTAATGATTTTTTGACTTTACTTTTAGTTTAATTTTAGTCCATAACTTTCATATTAGTTTTTTTAGCCCTCGAATTTAATGTGTTGTACCATTTATTTTTTTAGCCCTCGAACTTAAATTTAAGTTCGAGGACTAAAGAAACTAATATGAAAGTTCAGGGAATAAAATTAAACTAGGGTAAAATTCAGAGACCATTGATACAACTAAGTCAAAAATTAATGTACTTATATATATCAGCTCTACTAGTAATATCACCGATGTCTTTTATAATAAAATGTAACAACTATTAATAGGTTGTTAAGTTAAGACAATATTGATGATGTTGACAATGAACCATGTGTGGATGCAAAGTTTCGCCTTCCTTTGATTGAAGAATATGTACCTGCAAAATAATAACACCTAAGATTGAGGCCCAAAGCCTCACGCGCCCACGATGAATTTGGGGGGAGGGGGCTTTGGCCGAAGAATCTCCGATGCCAAAGTTAGAAGTATGAGAACAATGTATTTGAGTGTTTGTGGGTAGCAAAAAGCCTCTTTAGGGGGTAGCTCAAACTTATTGAAATTTGGAGATAAAGGGTATATTTATAGGAGAGATGGAGGAGATGGTTCGGCCCTCTAGGGTTTAGGGGTGGCTGGCCCTATGTGGTATTCTAGGTGAGAATATTCCAAGATATTTGTGTAAAGAAATATCTTTGAGTAATTAGGTACATATCCCAAATAAATGGAATTAGGATAGCTTACTTGAAAGAGGTCTTCTCTAATTAGAAATGTATTTATGATAAGAATAAGGGATTATTCTATCATAAATACCTTTGACTTTTTTTACGGGTAAGGGTGCCTTGAGCAGTTGTTGATCTTTGCTTGCTCTACCTTAGCTGCGCATGGTGAATGAGACTGCTCCCTGCTTATTTAATAAGGGCAGTCTTGTCTTTCTTGGAAAATAATCCACGTGTCAGCTTCATGATTTTTGGGATTATTTTTGGCTCCACACCATGTTAGACTGAAATTTTTTATAACAAGTATCATGTATGAGATTTGGGTGGTTATTATGCAAAAAGTGAAAAATGATGTGCATAGATTTTTTGTTCTACAGCTTTTCACCTTATAATATATGGTAGATGCCCACTAGTAGGCATGTAAAAGGTTCGAGGCCACTGGTAGATGCCCAAGGCGTCTTCATGAGCGTTGTTTGTCTGTGGCACTTGTGTGAGGATGTAAGTCTGAAACACCTCAAGCTGCTTTCGTACCTTCTCGAGGTATAATGCCATCCTTGGATGCTTTGCTACTGATGTGAAAATTAACTTGACACACAAATTAAACCCTATTGTTGATAATTGTAGTATATATGTAATGCTAATCAACACAAATAAGACTTAAAAACACTAAACTACACTCTATAGACTCAAAACTAACTTAAAACACTCAAAACAACAACAAACAATAAAAAAGACTCAATTCTAGACCTAACAAGTGATTTTGACGAAAATAAGACTTAACTTGACTCAAAAGACTAAAAGAAAACATATTTTGACTCAACTAACAAGACTTAATGAAAGGGGGATTGTTTTTGATGAATTTAAAACTTAAAACAGAAACTTTGCATAAAACACTTAATAAGAACGAATTTGGTGAATTAAAAAGGGTGAAAGGCTAGTTAGAAGGTTCATCTCCACACATGACATATGCATACAAACCAATTTCCAGTTATTATTCCTTTAGACTATGAATGACAATGCCCTAAATTAACCATGAAAAGCACAAATTAACTTTCAGATTTTCCTTAACTCATTGAATTGGATGGAATACGCATCACAACCAAATTATCCTTATCAAGTTTCCTAACTATGAAAATCATGATAGAAAGACATATCAAAGGTCATCAATTCTTTTAAAACCATAAGCATTGACAAGGCATTCGTAACTATGAAAAGCATGATACTCGTACCAAGGATTTACTTAACACAATCATGACTAGTGACTTCCACTACTTGCGAATATAAGTTCATAACGATTAGGTGAAACTCCTTTATACTCTAGCATCAAATTCATGCATGCAAATTAAGTGTCGACCCTCAACCAACATACATAAACAAGTTTTAATAACTCAGATAAGCAAATCATATTCAAGACTTAAGAAACAATAATTGGATGTAATCAATTCATATAAAACATATAATCATGGCTTCGAATTCACCTCCAACTATAAAGAAATTAGTTCCTCATGTTCATCATAATTGAAAACCAAATTAAAATAAACATTGAACTAAAACTAAGGATAGAAAGAACCCAGAAGCACTCCACACTCCAATAGCAGATTTCGAACCCTCCTTGGATGGTGGCAAGCACGGCACAAGTCCTCCTCTTCTTCCTTCCTTGCTGTGGCACTAGGGTGACTTAGGGTGTTTGATGGCTGAATGTATGAATGTATGAATGAATAAATGAGTGAATGGATGTGGTGTATTTTGCGGCATAAGCATGTATATATATGTGTGATGCATGGCTGAAACCCTAGGGAAATCAGATTAGGGTGTGGTAGAAATCAGGTGGGAAAAGGACTAGGGTGCATGAAAATCTGAAGGGAAAGGATTGCACAATCCTAGGGGAAAATGATTGCAGGTTCTAGAGCATTTAGAAGAAGGAGAAGCGCCACCTTTCTAGGGATTCTAGAAACAATGTGTTTTGTGGCAGAAATTGGACTTTTAGAAGGGATAAAGGGTGTGGCATTCTTTTAGGATCAGATAAGGTCTTCTAGAACCATATATTTAAGTGTTCTAATGTGGAATTAAGTCCTCTTTGCAGCTGGAATTAAGGTAGCAAAGGATTAGGATAGGATAAGATTGATGCGAAATAGATACGCACACAAATTAAACCCTCTTGTTGTCAAATTGTAGTAATGATGCAAGTAGGGATCGTTCTAGACCGGGGATTAGGAGGGCTTGCTAAAACCTCTAAATTGACTCAAAAACATAAAAAAAAAGTTAAAAACGTTCACAAAGACTCAAAGGACTCAAAACAGGTTCAAAAGACTCAAAACTACCTAAAAACACTAACTAGGCAGTTTCTGACCCTAAACACAAATTTGGACGAATTTAAGATTATAGGTTGATTCAAAACACTTTAAAATACAAATTAAGACACTCTAACACTAAACTAGACTCAAAGAATACAAAACTAAACACTTAAAACACTAAAACAAACCAAAAGACTCAAACATCACCCAAAACACTCAAAACTGCCTTAAAAACACTTTCTGGGCAGTTTTGAGCACCTTGGTGAATTTGGACGAAATTAATTTGTAATTTGACTCGAGACTCTTAAAAACATAAACTAAATTGATTTCTAACTAATTTGACAATAAAGTAAAGGGGGATTTAGGGTTTGACGAAATTAAACTAAATGAACAAATTACAATTAAAACAGAATGTAAATATGAAATGGATGAAATGGAATGAATGGATGCTATGGCTAGCTAAGGGGTTCATCTCCACACATGTTACACTTGCATAATAAAAAGATTTCCAATTGCATTTCAATAAATTATGAAACTCATCACCCCGGGTTAATTAGGTTCGCTTAAATTAACCTTCAAATCTTCCTAACATTATTGAATTGGATGATTGCATACGACAACCCAAAACATTCCCCACAAGTCCCCTACATGATTGCATAATAGAGATACAAGCAAGAATCATTACGCTCTATGAAAATTATAAGTGTTGACGAGGCATTCGTTACTATGATTGCATGAAACTTATGCCAAGAATTTATTTAACGCGATTGTTTATAAGCAACCTCCACTACTTGTGAATATAAGTTCATAACTATTAGGTGAAACTCACTTATATTCTAGCGTCATATTCATGCATGAAAATTAAGCGTGCACTCTCAATAAACATACATAAATAAGTTATCAATCAAACAGTTAAACAAATTGAATCCACAACTTATGAGACGCAATCAGAAGTAATCAAATCAAAATGCAAGCATAAACATATATTTCGAATCCCCCCCTAGCCAAGGGGGGGGTTTAGTTCCTCATGATACAAAACAAAGAGAATCAAAGAAACACCTAAACATTCCAACAACTCAAACTTGAATTGTATGAACGTTTAGGCCCTCTTCTCTTCCATTCCTCATTCGTACAAAACAAAGAGTATTGAAATTAAACATTGAAATCAAAGAAACACCTAAACATTCCAACAACTCAAACTTGAATTGTATGAACGTTTAGGCCATCTTATCTTCCTCTTCGTTGTAGCACAAGGTCTAAGGATAGTTTGATGGTGTGAATGGAAGTGTGGAATGGAGTGGGGAGTGATGGAAATGGAAGATGGTTTTTGGATTGTAAGGGAGAGAAACTCACGGCTAGGGAAGTGTTTGTGGTGTGTTGTGTATGAAAATGAGATGTGGAGTGAATGAATCCATTGTGGCTGAAATGGATCCTTATTTATAGGTAAATAAGAGGGAACATGACAGCTAGGAAGTGGGTGGAAATGTGGCTGCATGTGTGGTGCAATGATGAAGGAATAATCTGAAAATGCAAGGTGAATTAGGTTGGAAATCTGATGGGTAATGCACTGTAAGGATGGGCTGTTTTGTGTTGTTGGTGTGTGAATGGGAATGTAATCTGAAATGGGAGAGCATGTGGGTGGAAATGCATGTGGGTTAAAGTGGAATGATGATGGGAGATGCATGTGGCTGATTTATGCATGTGATTAAAGGGAGTGCATGTTTGAATGATTAAAGGGACATGTGGGGGTGGAAATGATGAATGAAATGCATGTGAATGACAGCTAGATATGTTGATGAATGCATGTGATT